TTCACTTTAACAGGAAGCCTACTCATATCATTTTAATGAAATTCAACTAGCAGTCCCTCATCACCAGAAACAAAACAGACTGAACACAGTTCTGGCTCAAGATCTACTGATAGTCTAGAAAGCGTCCTTAAAATGAAGCTAATTGAAAATAACTTTTGGAGGCAAGGCTGAGTGGCTTCAGCTGCATGATGAGGCCATCTTGCATATCATCAAAGGTGATTAGGGTTCTTAATCAAGCTGCTCACATTCAAGATTGTTCGCCCAAAATGGTGGCAATTTATCGAAACTTGCTTCATTCTTGGAAGTGGGTTGACATCGTTTTCGCAACTTGGTCTTGTCTCAGTGGGACTTAGTTGAACGCACCCTGTCCGAACTCCTCTGCCATTGTAGTTATCATAATTTCAAGCATCAGACCATGGACTTGGTACATTCTTTTGAAGCAATTGCCTTATTCTTGTTGTCACCTCTTCGTCACCGATGGTGTGTATTTTGTGAATTTCAGATCCTTCCTGTGAACTGGAGGGCGGCGGCTTCGTGGGCTGTGCTCGCCAGTGCAACACAACTTGCGCCGACACGTCACTGACGGTTGGTATGGCTGCTCACAGTTTCGGTCCAAAGAGCCTGTTGCTATGCCAAGAAGAGGCTAACGTCTGCCTGCCAGGCTGCCAATGCACCAATCCCGATAATCGGATCGACGACCAGCTTGGCTTATGTCGGCCCATTCGAGAATGCCCCTGCAGGGTGGCCGGGTGGCCGGGAGGCCGGGACCTGGAGCCGGGCGCCAAGATAGAGAAAAGCTGCTCGATTTGGTGAGTCGACCCTCTGCACTCTGTCATGGAATGTGTTGGCATTGGTAGCTGGTTGCCTCCGCAACCAGCTCTTCCCTCTTTCGAGGGAATCCATTGGAGCTAAAGCTAATCTGTTGAGCTTACTTCCATTTCGAGTGAAAGTGATGGGTGAAGAGATTCGAAGGTCGGTTCCACCAGCAGACGACGACGGATTCCTCTTGACCAGCTGTCGATTGGCTTTACTAAAATATTCATGCTAACGCTGTTTCCGAGGTAATCTCCTTCAATTTCTTTGAAAAGGCGCTAATCTTTAGTCCGTCATGACCAACATCATCAGGGCAGGTATCATCGCCACAATAAAGTTCAAGTTAACGAGTCAAGAAAGAGGAATCCGCCGTCGTCTTTTGGTGAAACCGACCTTATAACATCTTCTTCCAACACTTCCACTCGAAATAGAAGTAAGTTTAACAATTATGAAACAAGAGATTCCTTAAAAGCCCAACTTTTATTC